AGGGCCACTTTAGCCCAGGAGATCCAGACTGCAGTGAGCCATAATCATACCACTGCACTACAGCCTGGGTGACAGAGTGAAACCCTATCTCTGAAAAAAAAAAAAATTAGCACTCAAATTTGAAGGTGCAGACCTGACCCCTGGGGGTCTTATTAAAATGTGGATTCTGATCCAGGAGTTCCGTAGTCTGGCCTGAGGACCTGCATTTCTAACCAGCTCCTGGGTGATGCTGATGCTACTATCCATGAACTACACTCTGAACAGCAAGGATCTAACTGATCCAAATAAAGTACTGAGCCATATTCCCTCCAAGAATAAAAGTGCACAGTCATACATGAGCCTTTCTAGTAGGAAGGAGAAAGTAAGATGAAAAACAGTGAAGAGCATGACTGGGGGGAAGGACCGCTGCCTGCTCGGCACTCCCTCCCTGTCACTCTGCCCACTAGGTCATCAGATTTGTAGGGTTCTGGGCTGTTGTTATGGGCTGGATTTTGTCACCCTAAAATTCATGTTGAAGCCTTAACCCAGAGTACCTCAGAATGTGACGGTATTTGGAGATAAGAGTCTCTCATTAGTTAAAATTAATTAATTAAGGGGATTAAAATGAGGCTGTTAGGAGGTCCTAATCCAAACTGACTGGTGTCCTTATAAGAAGAGGAGCTTAGGCCAGGCATTGTGCCTCACGCCTGTAATTCCAGCACTTTGGGAAGCCGAGGCAGGTGGATCACCTGAAGACAGCAGTTCGAGACCAGCTTGGCTAACATGGTGAAATCGGGTCTCTACTAAAAAGACAAAAAATAGCTGGGCATGGTGGCAGGCACCTGTAATCCCACCTACTAGGGAGGCTGAGGTACAAGAATCACTTGAACATGGGAGGCAGAGGTTGCAATGAGCCAAGATTGTGCCACTGCACTCTAAGCTGGGCAACAAGAACGCAACTCCGTCTCAAAACAAACAAACAAACAAAAAACGAAAAAGAAGACGAGCCTAAGATACTCAGAGGGAGGCCAGGTTGCAGGCACACAAGAAAAGGCCATATGAGGACACAGACAAGAGACAGCCATCTGTAAGCCAAGGAGGGAGGCCTCAGGAGAAGCTAAATCTGCCAGCACCTTGATCTTGGACTTCCAACCTCCAGAGCAAATAAATGTCCATTTTTTAAGCCATCCAGTCTGTGGTATTTTGTTTTGGCAGCCCTAGCAGATTAATACAAAGGTTTTTATTTTTGTTTCTTGATACTAACCTAATCCCATAAGTTTCTGCCACATGCCTGCTCTATGAGAAGCACAGTGCTAGGAGCTGGCTTGCGGAATGATAATGAGGCAGTCCTTGGCCAGATCCTGCTTCTGTTTTTCTGTGTGTAAGAGTTGGCAGAAAGAGGAAGAAACCAATGCCACCTGACTCAAAGGACAAAGAATCCTGTTGCAGAAGTAAAACCAAATGCTGCAGAAGCACAGAGGAAAAGAAAATTCATCCTAACTGGGAAGTAGGGGGAGGAGGGGTGACCGGGGGAGGGGGCTTCAAGGTGGATTTTGATAGAGGCACAGAAAGGGACACATCCTGAATGATGGAGTAACACAGGCAAAGGCCACAAGACAGCAGGAAACCCAAAGCCCTAGTGCACACACCGACCAGCAGCAAGCCCTCTGGCAGGGCAGGGCAGGGACTCCAGGGGTGGCAGGCACGGAAAGAACTGAGCTAGGACAAATGACACCGACAAGGAGATTAGTGTCTGTAGGGGCCAGGCAAAGATGTCTCGACTTTAGGAAATGAAAAGTAATAAAAATGAGGAAGGCCGGCTAAGGGGTAAGAGAGTGGAGACAGAGTGCACTACAGAGGATAATAAAACTCTCTCTCATTACCTAACTGTCTAAGACCTGCCTCATTAAGATAAACACATGTTCTACTGTCAGCTACTTTCAAAATAACTCGGAACTTTATTTTCTCTTCCTCTGTTAACTTGGATATAAGGAAGAGGTTGCCACCCACTGTGATTTCCAAGCTGGGAACTAGGGTACGTGGCAGTTAAGGATGAGTGCCATGACCCAGTGAGTCAGAAAGAGAACTGAAGACTAAGATCCAACTTTTGAGTTCTGCAGATCAAAGCCCAAGGCTCCAGCCACAATGACCATGTTGCCACCAGCTCTGCTGCCGTCGGTGCCTGCTGTCAGGGCTCACACCCACCCAGCAGTCTTAGTCTTTCCCTCTCCCTCCATCTTCATTCAACAGGATTGTGGATTCCACTGACCCAGGGCAAGGGAAGCCACAGACCAGATATAGAAAGAAGGGAACAACATCACTCCATGCTTCTGAGTAACCAAGAGCTTAGGATCTCGTGATTTCCAGGGAAATTTAAGGAATTTTCAAGAGTAATTCTGACTTCAATGGACCTTTGCCCTACCCACTGACTTCAGCCTCCTGCCTTGCCGTGAGGGGGGTGGTTTCCGCAACCACTCTTCATGATGTGTGCCAATAAACCAACCTCATGGCTCATAACTCAAACAGGGAATATGAGCACACAACTCAGGAAACTGCCACTGAGTTGGGGTGGGTTTTACGCGGCCTTACTGAACAATGACTGACAGAACACAAACAGCAGAAATATGGGAAGGGATCACATAAACCACACAGATACAAACCCAACAACTAACAATCAGTTTCTAAACAGCGTCTCCATAAAAAACATTTGAGTAGCTCTCCTCTTCACCTGAGTCTTCAGGTGCTGCCTTCCAGTAAGGGTTTAGGGCAGCCCTTAAAACATCAAACATGAGCAGAAAATGACTGCAGGTTTAAAGCACATATACTAGCAGAGAAGTCTAAAACAGGCTAATAAGGTCGAGAAAGGGAAAAACATTGAAATAGCATTCTCCTTTCTCGTAACATTTAACACCTAGAATGCATCACATTTTTTCCTTCGCCTATGAAAAGTCATAAAAAATAAAATAATTAGATCTCTTTTTTTAAAAAGGGTTGGAACTGAAGGAGGATTTAACCTCAGAGGCCTAAGAAAGAACATAAGAAAAAGTTCAGGCTGTCATAGCTCTTGGTATGAACACCTTTACAGAAAGGTTATAAAAGGTCTACTGCAGTGACACGGAGGGATGCTGC